ATTGAAACCATAAGAAATGAAAAACAGTAGAAAAAAATTAAAAAAATGAGAAAAAAATAAAAATAGAAAAAATTGAAACAAGATAAAAAGCAAAGCAGTAAAAATTAAAAAAAAGAAAAATTGAAAACCGAAGAAGTAAAAAATAATAGAAAATTAAATAAAATGAGAGAAATAGAAGAATTAAAAATAATTGAAGGCAATAAAAAATTAACAGCAAAAAAAGTTAAAGCAGTGGAAAATTAAAGAACAAAAAAAATTGAAAATTTGAAATCAAAAAATGATGAATAGAAAAAATTGAAACAAGAAAAACTGCAAAGCAGTAAAAAAGAGAAAAAAAGATTGCCAATTTTTTAAAATTATTAAAAAAAAAGAAAAATTATCAACTGAAAAAATAAGAAACAATGGGAAATTAAATAAGTTGACAAGAATAAAAAAATTGAAATAAAAAAACTTGAAAATAAGAAATTAAAACAAAAAAAGGAAAAACAGTGAAAAACTAAAAACATAAATTAAAAATATATGTCTAAAAGATTAAATTATTTGGAAAATTAAAATAAAAAATGAGAAGTACAAAAAATTCAAGCTAAAGAAAAATAAAATAGAAAAAATTGAAAACAATAGAAAATTATAATTAGAAAGAATAAAAAGTATAAATAATTAAAAACAGAAAAATAGAAAATGCGGAAACCAAAGAAAAATTAAAACAAAAAAAATTAAAAACAGTGTTAAATGAAAAACAGTGAAAAATTTGAAAAATTACAACAGTTAAAAATAGAACACTGAAAAATTAAAAAACAGTTTTAAAAAAATTAAAAAACAATAAAAAATTAATACAACATGGAAAACGGAACAAAATTAAAGTGAGTTTTTTTTAAATATTATTCTGTTTGAAGATAGTAAACCATTTTAAAGTTTAAATAGGTGAATAAATGCGCGCAACAGCAGATTATCGCGTATAACACATATAAAATAAGACTCCTAACAAGAAGGCGCATTTTTCAATTTGAACACAAATAACTAGTTTCTAATTTTAAATGCTATCATACAGTACTATACAAAAGGTGATAATGATAGTTCCCGAGTGGTGTCCTGTTACAATTAATTGCTTTTGTACGTAATTATTTGATTGTATCTAAAATTTTAAGCAAACTCTATATGTATATATATATTTTTTTATAGAAGCAGTATACATTTCTACTGTTCGGAATGCAACCAAGCGATTCTTTTTATTACAAACCTAATGAATATGTATTCAATATTCTATAATAGTTTTTACGTCTTTCTTTTCAAATTATATCAAAATTCACATTTCTCCTTTTTTATAATTGCATCCTTTTTGAATTTTTTTCACTTAACTTTTATTTTAAGAAATAGAAACATTTATTCACGCAATTTCCTCACTATGTGATGTTATTATTATTTCACAGTAAATACACTTCATTCATATTAATAAAACATTATAATAACAAAACTATATATAATAATAAATTCAAGTTTAAACTAAAATATAAAAGTTGTGCATAGAAAAGGCTTTGTTTTATAAATTTGTAATATAATTACCAAGAATTAGTAGAATTATTAAAAATTATTCAATATATAAATAAATAATAAAAATAGAAACTCAAATAATAATTAGTAACAGTAATAATAATGAAATAATTAAATTAACTATTTTTATTGAATTGATGTATTTAAATTTTAAGTAATTATTAATTATATTAATATTAATTATTCAATAATAAACAATAATTCAATTATTTATTTATGATGAAAATAATTATTCGGTAAAAATAAATATTTATTGCATCGAGTATAAAATTTACTTGAATCAATTATCGCCTATAGGTTGTTCTAAAAAGCATTTGTGTATTAAATTCAATTATTCGTTTAAGACAAACACATATATTTATTCTACTAATATTCCATAATTCGAACGCTTGATTAATTATTAATTAATTACTAATGAAACTTTATAAAAATTATCGAATTTTAAGAAAAAATAATATAATTATTTTAAATAATAATATAAATATAATTAAGCATAGTTGATTTATGATAAAACGTATAATAGAACTTGAATTTTAATAAATTAATTTTAATTAATTAACTAAATTAATAAATTGAAATAGAATTGTTTATTAATATTGTTATCAAAATAGAATTATTATTTCACTATGGAAATGTATACAACGATTGAAAAAACTATATAGAATTACAAAACTATTATACAATAGCAATACAATAATATAATAGAATCATAATACAGCATAATAATAAAAAACGTAAAATAAAATCATAAGACGTAATAAAATTATAGAAAAAGCAATGTCATTTTTAAAAAGCTTTAAAAATTATTGAAACTAATAGAATGATAATAAAACATAGTAAAAATTACAATAAAACGGAATAGAATTTTAATAGAACAATAACGTAATTATAAAATGAAGTATAATTTTAATAAAACATTAATTGAATTATTAGTAAACAATAGGACAATAAAACTTAATTGAATTACTGTAAAAATATAGAATTATAATAAAACCTAATCGAAGTATATTGTGAAACAAAATACTATTTTAATAAAATTTTATAGAATTATTGTAAAACTATGTAATTATGATACAACATAATTAAATTATTGTGAAACATAATAAAATTATAATAAAACATAATTGATTATGAAACATAATAAAATTATAATAAAACATAATTCAATCACTATAAAACATAATACAATTACAATAAAACATAATTGAATTATTGCGAAATATAATACAATTATAATCAAAAGGAATAGAATTTCAATAAAATGTGCAATTGAATTATTAGAAAACAATAAAATTACAATAAAACAGAATTAAATTATTGTAAAACTATATAAAATTATAATAAAACAATACAAATATAATAAAACCTAGTAGATTTATTGCAAGACCTAATAGAATACCAATATAATTAGAATAGAATAGATTACAACAGAAAAGAATTGAATTAGTAATCGATTAAAAAAAGTACAATTCCGTTTTGAAATCGCGCCAATTGGTAACTTTTTCAAATGATATAGAGGGACTACTGTATCGAGGGACAGTTTTCCCAAAAAAAAGTCGAATGGTACATAAGAGGTATTCTTGCGTATGATTCCTACAACGATATATAAACAAGGATTTAAGGGTGGCGAATGGGATCACGTAAAAAACAGATTTCCACCCTCAACGTGCGGTGCTTTCTGTGCGAAACGTGATTCCAGCCGTCGGAAGAAGGGCGGAGAAACGAAAGAGAGAGAGAGAGAGAGAGAGGCTGCCATGTAAGTGATCCCAGGGGAATGCTAAGAACGATCTTATGATTGACCGTGTTACAGAATTCCCACTGGGCCATTTCCCAGGCATTGTTCTTGATATTTCGGAATACGATAAAGGAGCGACGACGCGCATTCAAACCGAAAAACGACCACAATTCTAAGTCGTTTAAGTTCATATAACTGACAATGAGTATGCGAGCTATGCTCCTATTTCTCCTGATTAGTAATTTTCCTACTTTTCCTAATCACTAATTTTCCTACTTCTCCTAATCCCTAATTTCCCTACATCCCCTAATCCCTAAACAAATTCACTAATTTCCCTTATTTCTTTATTATTTCCACCCTCCGCGATTATGAAACTCTTGTTCACACGTAATTAATTAATGGCTTTTTGATTACTCATATATTTATGTCCTTAAAATTAGCGTCGACGCTGAAATTAATATTTCGAGTTTTTAGAGATGTCACTATTTTCACGTTTCATTTATACCTTGGAAGTTAAAAAATTTTCCGGCGGGCACTCTTTTAACTATTATGATTCTTTTTGATTTTGCGAAGAGAAATTGTTTTCTCTGTTTAGCGTCAACGCTAAATTCAGATTTAGTGAGATTTAGCTAGGATCTACATATTTACAAAGTATAAGGATTGTTATATTTACTGCCGGAATTGTAAATACAAAAATAAAAGTCCGATTGGTTGCTGCAAGTCTATCAACAATTGAGTTTTGTTGTGGCAGCAAACAAGAGTTATGTTACAACAACAATTTCAAAATCTACTAATAATTATAGTTACTTTTTACTAATTGTTGAAGCAAAAAGTCAGCCAAGATTTTACTATTAATTAGTCATTTTTAACTAATTCAGATTTAGAGATTGTTTTCGTTCTAGTGGACCAACAAACAAAGATCAAAAATCCAGAATTAAAAATCAAAAACCAAAAATAAAGTACAAAGAATTGATCAAGAATCAGAGCTATTTGCCTTCTAAGCAATTGAGTTTGTTGTTACTGCAAACAACTCAAGTTTAGATACTAAGCAATTCCAAATTGTTGTGATGTCAAAAAGTGTGCTTCAACAACAAATGAAAATTGTTAGTTGTGCGCATCAATAATTCCTTTTTCTTCATTGTTTTTGATACAGTGGACCAAGAATCAAGTATCAACAATCAAAGATTAAGAAATAAAGGATCTACAATCAAAAATCAAGCATCAAAATTCAAGCATCCAGAATCAAAAATCAAGAATCCATAACCAAAAATTAAGGATCTATAATAGAAAGTCAAACATAAAAAACCAAGGATCCAGAATCAAAAATTAAGGATCAAGATCCAAAGGTCCATAATTAAAAATCAAGCGTCAAGATAAAGATATTTCTTTTATTCCATATAAATAAGGGTTGCAACATGAAATTTTGGAAAATTAAGTGGATGCTGACAACTTAAGTGCCAATTTTATAGCTTCATTTTTTTTTTACCAAAAACCAACATAAAATTTTGAAAAATTAACTGGGTGCCAGTCTCAACTTTTCATATCATCAAAAATCAACCAACTTTGATGAAACCCTCTTGATCTTTTCACCTTTTTCCCCTCAAACTTATTGTTTCATAAAATCAAGAATCAACATTCAAGAATCAAAGACACTGAATGTGATTGATTAGATGCTTTTCACAACAATGATGCTAGAGATTAGTATCTGTATGTTTACCTTTCTTGTCATCGTCATCATCAATATGATCGCTTGAATGATGAAGATGATGAGCAGCGGGATGATGAGCGGCAATGGCAGGCACAAGGGGATGATTTCCCAGGGCGGGATGAGCATGATGGGGATGATGATGATTCAAGAAACGTGCAGCGGCAACTGCAGCAGCTTGATGCTGCGCCTGCATCGTTTGCTGAACCTGACTTTGCACCTGTCCAAGAACCTGATGATGAGGTGGCCATCCTGCGAGGTGAAATGGAAAAACAGGTGTCGCCCTCTGGAACAATCTCGCTGGTCCAAGAAGTGATCCACCAGAGGCGGCAGAACCACCACCAGGAGGCGGTGGAAATGACAAACCACCTCCTGGTTCAAGGACCATATTTGGAATCAACTTGACAATTTTAGTCTCCGTCACGGAGATCTTTTTTTCACATTAATCACACTCTCTCATTGACCCTCTCAATCTTTTCACCTTTTTTTCCCCTCAAACTTATTTTTCTCTCATCCGTCGCTAAAGGAAAATTATATTTTTTTTCTTTTAAAATAACGAAAACATTTCTTTCCGTCGGAACGCTAATTTCACTTTTCCAGAAAAGTATCCATTAGAAAAGTCACCTAATGATGTTCAAATTCACCTAATGTGATTATAGTGTTAAATATATAAATCCTTTAGATGAGTTTCTACACAATTGCAGTCATGAAAACATCACTTAAAGTTGTCACGTGTCAATTTTTATTATTACTTTCTCCGCACAAACACACACACTCACAGATATATATGTTCCGTGATTGGTGATTTTTTTTCCAACTGGAAAATAAAAAGGGAGCACTAGGAGCACTGACCGTTTGTGTTAATCAGTTTTACTGATAATGTCGCGTGACACAAACAAATTTTAAGTAAATAGAAAGCCGGCTAGTGTGGAAAGTACTACGGCGCGAGCCAACGGCACAGCACTATCTGCCTCGAGAGTTGAAGCAAAGGCTCCCCTCGGTCCACGATACCTTAAACCAGTTTCTGTTTCCACCCAAGAGAAAGCCGATTGGCTCTGGTTTGAGCGGGTACCGGGGATTCACGCTATCGCTAACGAATCGTCGAGCGAGAATTCCATGTTTGACTCCGCCTTTCTGTGTACAACTTTTTTCAACTGGAATTGAAATTGACGCCCTTCTTGTCTTCCGCGAAGCGTGGCTCACTGGAGGGGACAAATCAATTGGCAGCTACCCTACAACCGGCCGCAAGATGGCTCCTCCCTACACTTCTACTCCACCACCACCACTATCGCACATACAGTCTAAAAAACCACCCCTCATTTTCATTTCACCCTGTCTATCTTCACGACCATTTCAAATGCTCATGTTTTCATCCGAATTGATGATGAGAATGATCAAGATCATGACGATCTTTTGCCATGGCTTTAAATCTTTTCCAACTTTTTCCATATTATTTAGATGTATATATTATACTTAGTCTTATCGAATAAACCAATTGCTACGCTCCACTATTTCTCCCTCAAAAAAAGAAGATTCCAAGTCTCTTCATTTTGATTAAATTGATAACGACTATCAATCTATCGCTCTTCTGTTTATACAGCGGATAACTGATAACGTTTTCTATGAATTGTTATCAGTTTGAAAATTGTTAAAGTGGATATAAAATTTGTTACATTTTTTGCGGGAAAAAGGGGTGTTCTTTCCAACAAAAATATTCGTTTTATTTTTATTAGGAATTTATACACCTCTTGTACTTTTAGGAATAGTAGATTCATTATACTGTTAAGGAACGGAGTTTTAATTCTCAGGAGGATATTTTATTAGCAGTCGTAGACCTTTTTGCGATTTACAAAAAAGGGAGTTAGAAAAAGTTCAAATTTTACTCCGCACAGATTAACTCTGTCTGAAATTAACACCATTTCTAATTATACGAAATAACTCTCGAGGGAGTTGATGCTAAACTCATCCTTTTGATAGAAACTCTGCAAAGTCTTAGATTGACTTCAATTTGGAGTTAAATTCTTGGAGTTGAATTCTAACTCGTAAATTATTATAAACAGAAAAATGTTTGATTTTAACACTACATTTGGTATTAAAATAACACTGGAGTTAATTGTTAGATAAATTATTACTAAATCATTTGATGGACGACTTTTCGTCATTTCATTAGGAACTCTTCTATACTAATTCATGAATTAGTTTATTAATGAAATTAAAAATTAAGAAAATAAAGAGTGATTTCAACTCCCACAGTAGGGGTAATATAGAAATTTCAATAGATAATGGCAAATGAAGTATAAACAATAAAAGTTTTCGAGTTGAAAATCAACTCCAAAAGTTTGTTATATAATTCAAATTGTCAGAGTTAAATTATTAGATTCTTTGTAAGTTATTTTTGCAAATAGTCAAGGAGTTAAAATTTGTTTCTGATTTAAAATCAGACCCATATTTCGAGTTGAAGCAGAGGGAGTAAAATTTAGAGATTACAAATTTCTATACTCAACCCCTCCTATTTTTTCATATTTGCTAAAAAAAAACTTTACAAGAATGAGATAAATTAACATTTGGAGTTGATTTTTAACTTGAAAGGTATTTTCTCTTCAAATTCTGATTGCTTATTAACTTCTTAAATTTTTATAGTTATATTATTTCTAATATATAATTATTATTTGGTTATGTAATTTTTTAGACTCAAGAAGTTAATAAAATGGAGTGAAAAATTTTATCTTTCTGCAATAAAGTCAAGCTGATTTCTATGTGTTTACAAATCTTAACGCAATAAAAATACTTCCTTCTTATTTTCTCAAAAAGTCATTTGCATTTTTCAAAAGCAGGTCATCTACATTTTTCAAAAAGATATTCTCATACTTCATTGTCAAAAGTATACAAATGGTGCGTGATTTACAGCCGCCGTCACTTTAAAGTTTTAAAAAAGTTATTTTCAACCAGAATTTTTAAAGTATATATCTTCAACATTTTTTTCCTCGTATAATAATTTCTCATGATTTTTTAAAGTTGTTATCAATTTTAGTATTTCTGTAAATAAAAGGTTCTAAATTAGAGCTGATTTTCGGTATTAAAATAGAACCAAATGACGATTTATTAGTACCCAAAATTGGTACTAAATTAGTACCTTTCTTTTTACAGTGATTGCTTTAATTTTGAAACGATATTTGCAAAAAAGGAAACTAAAAAAAATAAGTAAGCGGCATGAACAGTTGGGAGTTAAGTTTTTCGAGTTAAAAATCTACTCCAAAGTGAGTTAAACAAGTGTTAAATAAAAAAAAAATTTACCATCAACTTTTTGGGAGTTATAATTCGAATTAACTTTGGAAGTTGGTTAAAAGTACAGAAATCAAATTTTACTCCTAACTCCTTTTGCCTCAACTCCAAAATGATACGAACTTTTATAAAATCCCGTTAGGAATTGAAATTCAATTTCCATTTCTCAAATTATATTTCCAAAAAAAAGTCTATACCAGAGTTTTATTCCAAAAAGAAGAATTATAAGAGTCAATGACACTTTTATCGACGCTGAAAACTGAAATCATTTCCCTCTTGCTCGTGCATTTATCAAAGAAATCTTGATTGATCTTAAGTGATCTTTTTTCACCCGCGAGGATCTTGAGCCACTATATCTCTCACTTTAGCTAAGTAATGCATGTTATACCCCTCGAGGGGCGTTTTCTCCTCCGATTCTCCATCTCGCACTGGCTTCCACCCGGGCAGGGGCGTTATATACTCTTTTAATAAGACCGCACGCTGGAAAGAGAGAGAGAGAGAGAGAGAGGGGGGGGGGGTATTTTTTAAAGGCGTTAAGTAATTACGTCTCTATTCTCTTCCTGAGAAGGAAATTACCTGCAGTCGTGCTCGCCTCCTCCCACTTTTCTATATATTTATATAACCTCGGGGTGGGAAAAATTAGGAAATTAAAATTAACCCCACTAAATTCCTTCACCTTGAGAATTCACCCTCCCCTCCAATTAGCCGATAACAAAAACCAGACGCTATTCGCCTCCTGTTACACCCGGCCGGAACTTCCTTCTCAAATTTACAATATATATATGTGCCTACCCGACGGCCATTACGCTATTGCGTAACTTTCATTTCTTTCTAAACTCGCAACAACACCTTGTTAGCGCTATGCGAAGAAATTCCTTAAAATTTAATTTATTTTAGGCTCATTTATATGCGGGGAAAATTTATATAGTCGTTTGGAAATTGCCAAGTTATGTGCTATAAAATCAATAATGGGGCTATATTATTGATACTATCTCGGCAGGACTTTTTTACTTTTAACAAAACCTAGGAGGGGAAACATAGTCAGAGTTGGACCACCTTTTGACCTTTGTTTATATGTGACAACACAGAAGAAACGGTAATCTAATTTTAAGAAGCTCCTACTTAAATAGGAGCCAAGAATATTCTCCACTTAAATTAAGTGACCCCACTTAAATTAAGTAGGAAATATTCTTACAATAAGATTGATATTCTTATTGTAAGAATATTTCCCACTTAATTTAAGCGGGGCCACTTAATTTAAGTAGGGAATATTCTTGGCTCCTATTTAAGTAGGCGCTTCTTAAAATTAGATTATCCGTCTTTTCTGTGAAGAAAAGTTAAAACGGACCTATATACGTTCCGAAAAAAAGATTTCAAGAAAAACGGCTTTAAAGTTTAAAAGTTGATTTTGATACTTCTGAACATTTTAATGGATTAAAACTTATTACTCGTCCGCCATATTAGATCCGCCATTTTGAATTTTTAAAAACTAACATCGGATTCATAATCAGCGACCCCGAAAACCCCCGAGTAACGAGTTTCAAGCGAATTTGATTAATTTTTAGAAAAGTTTGTCAGATTTAGCTAGAAAGCTGCAGTTTATTGCATTGGAAAAAGCGGACCGTTTACTATAAGAATCGATAAAAAAGTGGAAATCGATTTTTTCGACCCGTTAGGTTTACTAACATAATTTTCAATCATTTATTAATTCATTTTTCACTAAAAGTTCAGTAAAAAATTACGATTACTAAAAAAATAGTAATATTTCACAGGGTTTCCACAAAAATTTAATTTTGTTTTTCCCTGACTTTTCCCTGATTTCCAGAATATTATGGTTATTGTAATTTCCTTAAAAATTATAATTTCATCATTTCAATTAAATTATTATTTTCTACAATTTTTAAATAAATTCTTCTTCAAATCAATTATTTCTAATAATTTTTGATAAAGTTGTTTTGAGAATTTTTAAATTCATTTTGTTTACAATTCAATTTTAAGAAATTTCGATTATTCGGAAACAGTAGAAAATAAAAACTTGAAATAATATTTTTAAAAATTTCGATTAAGCTTTTTGAAAAAATTAGTTCCAATGAATGTTTAATTAAAAGTAGGAAAAATTTGAAACCATTACAAAATTCAATTATTTCTAAAAATTTCAATTATTAGTAACTTCTCCAAAATTCAACTATTATCTAAAATTTTAACTGAAATTATTTTTTAAATCAATTTTTATTAGAAATTTCTACTAGAATTCAATTATTTTAATACAAACATAGATAATTTACTGAAAGTTGAATGTTTCTTAAAATTTATTGAATTCCTATATGAAGAATTTTATCAACATATTTTTAAATAATTGAATTAATTCGACTGATTTTAATATTATTTTTAAGAATAATTACATTTTTAGGACGTATTCGATTAAAAATAATTAATTGTATTAAAAATAATTTAAATTCTGCAATGAGTTTTATTATTTATGGAAATAAACGAATTATTGCAAAGAATTTTATAAAAAAGTTTCAAACAATTGACTTTTTTCGAAAAAATTTATGCAAATTCTACTATTTTAAATAATTGAATTCCTGTAAAATTTTCATTATTTCATAAAATAATTGAATTCCTTTGGGAAATTTTATTAAAATAATAATAGATATGCAAATTATTGAATTAAGAAACATT